CCGAACCCTACTTATAAGCGTTATACATCAACAACAAACCGTGATACTATCATAGATATATAATAGTACACTTTAAAAGTTTCAAGTACCCACGAATAATATTATACAATCACAACAAAATAACTAAAATAGTTATTCTAGGTTTTTTAATATGTAATTTTGTCCAAATATGAATTTAAAATGTCTGTAAAAAATAACTGTGCTCATATATTTTTTAGATTTTTTGGCTACAGTATGAACTATTTATGAGAATCTTTTTTTTTAAATTTTCAATCCTCAGCTATAAAAACTGAACATTTTATAATTTATCAATTACGATGATTAATAATTTTCGAGATTTTGAAAAATTCTGTCAAAATTCGATGTTTAAAATTTAAATGCTTATAAAATAAAATTGTGCCTATGTATTTTTAATATTTTTCAACTGATATTGTAACAATATATCAGGAGCCTTGTATTACATTTTTACACTTTTTGGCCCAACAGATAAAACTTTATTGATATTCATAGAAAAAAAAAACAAAAAAAAATGGAAAAATGAAAATATCCGTAAACAGCTCAAAAAGAGTCAAAATATTTTCAAAATTGTATGGTGTATAGGAAATGCTAATATAAACATTCAGTGAAATTTTAATGTATCTATAGTTATTCGTTTATGAATAGGGTTCGGATTTGAAGGCAAATGCCTTTCTTTTATTAATCATAATAGAAAAATAATCTTTATACAAAAATGTGTTTCATTTAATTTCTTAGAGGATGGATCTTTTTTTTTTTTTGCCTTTTTTTGCCTTTTTACTTATAAATGCCTTTTTGCCTTTTTTACCTTTTGTTTATTTTGCATTAAATTAACTGGTATAACTCAAGTAAGTTAATATTTAAAATTGTTTTTAACTAATTCTTAGGACAAACCTGGTTAAAGAAAAAGGTACCTAACCTATTTATACAAAATAGCATAAACTTACCTAATGTAGTTTAGTATTCATGCTCATTTTTAATTTGTATTTTTCTCAAAATGTGTGCATTTAAAAGTGTTTAAAAAATGTTCACTATTTTATTTTGTAGTATATTTATGAATTGCCTTTTTATATAAATTAAATGCCTTTTTTTGCCTTTTTTTACATTTTAAATGCTTTTTTTTATTGATTATATTGACTTCAAATCCGAACCCTATTTATGAATAACAACAAAATAAGGAAATCGCTACATGAGAAATCGAGTGAACATCCAATGTTGTAAAAATTTGAATTTCAAACGCTCATAAAAATTTAACTTGACTGTCCGGTAGAGATTTTTTTATTGATAAAGGTAGACAAACTTATGAGTAATCTTGTATTTCATTTTATAATCTTAGACTTAAAAAGAAAAATTTTTACGAATTCTTAACTCAAAATAATTTGCTAATTTTCGTGAGTTTTCCATATTTTGTCAATTTTTGAACTTTAAATGCTTTAAAAAAAAACTGTGACTAACGATTCTTAATATTTTTCATCTGCCTTGGAAACAATATACTAGGAGCCTTCTATTAAATTTTCAAGTTTTTTTAACCAACAAATACAATTTTATTGATATTTCTAGAAAAAAAACTAAAAAAAAATGAAAAATGAAAATGTCCCTAAACAGTTCAAAATAAATCAAAATATATTGAAAATGTAATTGTGTATAGAAAATGCAAATATAAACAACCAGTGAAAATTTCATGTATCTACTATAATTTTTTTTAAAGTTACACCAAAAATCAAATTCAATTTTTTGAAAAATTGATTTTCCTTAAAAATTCCAGTGTTTCCTTAATTTTTCTTTTGTTTTTCTTGGCGCTTTTGAAAAGTACTGTGAATTTTAAATTTGTAACTCCCCAATGCAACAACGATATTCACTTTCCAATCGAACAAGATACTGAAGTCGAAAATCGAAGCATTATTTCGACTACTTATCGTGTACACAGACACAAAAAAAAATAAAAAAAAATAAATAAACACACATCATTGTAAAATCAATACATTCATCGTTCCACTCAGAATCTAAAATGTAATTATAATTATAATAAATTAATAATTTAATCGAAAATTTCTCACACGGAAAAAAATGATTACTATATAATATTGTAGTTGCAACATTTATAGTTAATACAATTTTGTAGTAAAGATTAATAAACGATTTTAGTAGATATGAAAACAAAATTGTAGGTAGTTAAAATATTATAGTTACTAGAACTATAATTTAGTTGAATCTATTTCCATTAACTATTTAATATTTTAGTTAAAACTTGGTTGAATACAGAATAGTTAATTTTACTATAATTTATAGTAAGCATAAATGAAAAATATTGTTGTTTGTTTTATTTTTAAACGTGATTCCTAATGTGTTGTTTTGTTATCGGGCAAATAGCGATCCGTCCGCTGCAGTCGTCGTTGTCCATTTAAATTTATGATCCTCTGTACCCCAATCTACCATAGTGTATTCGTGTTATTTATATTTCTCACACACACCACAATTATTTATTTCGTCATTTTATACTTCACGTTCACATTTGACTACTTGACTGTTGAATGTTGTCAATGTTGATACTCATAAGTCTGAAGTCATAACTCATACAAACATTGTAACATTGACCTGCCAACCAGTGGCGTATTTACGGGGGGGGGGGTCCATAGGGTCCGACCCCCCCCCTCATTGACTCGTGTCTCGTACATGTTAAATGTTGTGCAGGTTTTACATGATTAAAAAACAAATTTTATCATACGATTTTACGGATTTTATAAACAATTTTCGAAGCAATAGTTATATCAACATTTTCAATAAATATCGTGATTATTTTTATCAGTTGGGTACCGAAAATGGTTGAAAAATACCAAATTAATTTTTTAATTCAAATATTTTGTAGTTTTGTACATTGCCAGTATCTACAACCACTCCAGAGAGATAATTTTCAACCTTTTTAAGGTTGAAAAGCTGTCTAAGATCAACTATGCATGAAGTAGGTACCTAATGTAATTAAGGAAATATTTGTATAAAAGTTATATATAACTATATATTCGATTCTGAGGGATCTATTGGTTCTACAATGGTGTTTATTTTTTTTTCCTGTATACAAAATTTCTTCCAGAAGGATTGCTTCGATTTCAACATGTATAGACATATAGTAACTTATCTTTTAGAAAATTGGATCAAGATAGTACTTTAGAGAGGTCATTTTTCGATTTTCTCGATAGTTATTTAATGCCACTGTAAAAACCACCAAAAAATTACGAAAAACCGCTAAAAATGGTATTTTAATTTCTAACACTTTGTCTATCACCATAGAAAAAAATAAAAGTATTTCATTATTAATTCAACTTACAGGCTATAATAAATAATAACAATATAAAATATCCAGACTGACAAAACGTCTTCGCTCAGAATCGTTTTTCTTATACAATGCTATTATGATATTATATCATTGAGATCAAGTTTAATACAATCCATTATACATTGGCCCACTTGTAACCTACTGTACAGCAGCAGAGTGACATCCACTTACCCGCTTTTTTTAAAATTTGTTTTGTACATATTGTTTAATAATTAAAAACTCGACAATTTTATATCGTCTTATAAATATGGTATATTTTATTTAATAAAGAGTAAATGGGTGGTGTGGGGGGCTTCGTCCCCCGTGGCTCTGTGTTCTGAAAATTATCTGGACCCTCCCCATGACAAATTCCTAAGTACGCCACTGCTGCCAACTGTACCGGGGATTGAGGAAGTTTGAAGATTCTGTCCCTGAGGTAAGTCTAATTAATTTATTTTTGATCATTAGTTAGGTACCTGCTACCAGCTATAAGTATGTAAATTAAAATATCAACAGTACTTAGTCGGATAATCTATACAGCTTTAGCATAATATTATTAATATCTACTGTCGATTTTAATATTGCTGCAGTATAAAATAGTATAACATAGGTATACCTATTAATATTAATCTATTAAATTTTATATTAAATTTTAATTTTGCAGTGTTAATTATGTATTAATTTTATTAGAATTTTTATGATAGACAAAAAGTAAAATGTATAATACAGCACTAATATGCAGTACAAAATAGTAATTTTTTAAATTGTAATTTAATTTTTAACCATTAATGGATTGCAAACCAAGTAAATAATATTTTAATATGCTAATTCTTAGCAATGTAAAATATTTTATGTATAAACATACATATACCTAATCTTTTTTGTGATCTGCACCTTTTTGGACGTTAGGTGTATATTTGTATGATTTTTTTGTTAAAATATGCACACCTTGCACTAACGTTGGAATATGCAAAAGTAGGTATTCGTTATACAATTTTTATATTGAATTAATCAAATAATGATTTATGGACAATCAAATGCATACAATGTTGAAAATAATAACATACATTTTATGCAGAATCCTGTCTTTAGTTATAACATTCATAGCCGTCACACATACTGGTTAGGTTTCTGTAATATATACTTATTACTCCAAGCTAGTAGGTAATTATACTAAAAAGATTTATTTTTATAATTGCATTAGCTACATTTTAGTAAATTACATGTTTAACTTCACTTAACTTAAGTATAATAAAAATCAAGGCTGGGCGCATTAACGAGTTAAAAATTAAAATTAAGTTAAAACGTCAAGTTGATATTAACTAATTTGAGTAACCCGTTACTTTTTTTTAAACTAACTTTTAACATATTTAACGTGGTAACTTAGTTAGGTAATTGTATACAGATTTATTAAAATCAGTTTAAATTTAAAATTGTATACAACCCATTAATTTATAACTTTGTTGGCTTGTGGGAACTATTAGATATCACAGAGGTCAGAGGGTCTCTATGCATCATATTAACTTAACGAGTTAAAAAAAATCGTTAATTTACCCAGCCTTGTCAATTATAATATTCATATTGTAGCAATGTAGTTGGATAATTTCATATAAAACACTGATGTCCAAAGTCCAAATTATCATAGGACTTACTGTAATAGTATACTTTTTGAATTATGGATTCATACACTCAAGATATTATAATGAAACAATGGGGTTTTTCAACTGAAATAATAACAATATTTAAAGGTATGTGTATGGCACTATAATACTATTATTATAATTTATAATGTAGCCATGTAGTTATGTTATTTAATTGAAGTTCTTTAATTGTAGGTATAGTTATTATGAGTTAAAGGATTGCATTATAAAATATATCCATTGTAGGTATATGTAACTTGTAAGAACACCACATAAATATTATTTTTGCCATATTTATTTAATTTGTACAATCTGTACTCAAAAATTGTCTATTCAAAGCTGCAAACTAATTTTATACATTTTTTAGATCAAGAAATAGATCAAGTAGCAATATCGAATCTTACTGAGACCATGATAATAGAGTTGTTGCCTAAAATTGGTCAACGATCTAGATTTTTAAAACATTTAGAAAATTTAAAAATACAAAAAGTAGGAAAAATAATTTAACATTTCAAAACTTTCATGTTCATCATAGATAATATATCATTTTTTTATTGTTATACTTGTAGAATGTTTCTGTTGATTCTAAAAAGAAACTTTATGTAATTGACTGGGATAATTTAGACATAGAGTTAGCTCTGATGGATAGCTTTGAAGATAATATTAATTCTACAGATAACATAATATGTGATACAATATCTGACAATTGTAATACTGCAGTCCAAGAATTCCAAGATCATTGTGGTAACCCCCTCAGAATTTAAATCATTTTATTAATACAATTTATACATTATGCTATATAGTATTACCAATAGAATTATATTCAATACTTACTATATGGTATAGGTATTGACATATTGTTTTCTTGATTTTACTTTTACTTGTCTCAAGTTAAAACCAAACGCTACTCAATATTATAAAATTGTAAATACCTTTATTTTAATATATGTTTATGAAGTTCCAACTGCGGAATGCTCCTATACAACTACTGTAAACAATGATAATTCTTTGGCGCAACAGATAAATACTATTTTATCCAAATACCAAGATGGAGAATTTCATGCATGCCCATAAATGGCTAAAAAAATCGAAATATTTCCATTATCTTACCATGTAAGGAACGTACTATACGTTTGAGAGTTGGACCAAAAAACTAAATCACTTTTCCACCAGAAAAGATGGTAAAGTAGAAAATCTAAGCATTATTATTACCACAAAACTTGATACATGGAAAACACACATCATCATTGTTTATTTAATTATTTTATTTGGGCCATATTTTTCACTATAATTTAATTATTACTATATTTAGGAAGTGATGTATATTTTTGCGAAAAATTTCAAAAAATTGAAAATTATGAAAAACTTATAATTTTTCATACCAAATTCGTAGGTATCAAATAAATCCCTTGATAGTATATTGTTATAGTATATACTATATTTAACCTACATAATTATATTTAAACTTGTGCAGTGTGCACTTGTATATTCCTATTACCCATTTCCCATTTAAATATTATACTATTAAACATAAAATAGGAAATCCAATTAACAAATAAATTGATCTCAGTAATTAATGTGCATTTTTATGTATTGTTAAAAAATTTGTATTTTTACTTCAGTATACATATTATATGTTGAGCTTTCCTACATCTATTGATTTGTTCGTTTTTCTATATTTAATGTTTGAGTTATCTCCACAATTTTACACATATGGCTTTTTATGAGTAGTTATATTAGTTGTTACAATTTACATCGTTAACACATGACCATATCTCGCAATAAGCCGGAACTATTTATAATTGATAAATACTTTTTATTTATCATGTAGGTGCCTACATATTTCAATTTTAGTTAATATTTACAGTCGTTGGATTTCTAATTAAATAATAAACATTCAACTAGCACACACCAATCGTACAACCTTGAAAATTAAATATGTTAACAAAAATACATTAAAAACTAAAAGTATCCAAGACTTTAAAGAAAGTCAATTCAATAAAAAATGAAATTGTTCATGATTACGCATCTCTAGTTGTGTCCCAACTGATTTATTAAGTTTTCTCACATATTGTGTGCTGGTGCATTCAAATCGATATTATTTGCAATGTGATTTTTACATTGAAATTAAAACTACTGTACATAATCTAAGAAGATGCCATTTTTACGATCTGGAGTTACCAAGGGGATTGGAAGCAGCGTATCATTTTCACGTCTTAGACCTAAAAGCCTGACAAAATTATGCACATTTAAAACAATCAGATTTCCATTCTGTAAAAGAATCGACCTTTTTTCTAGGTTATTGTGGAAATCGATTTTTGATATTTCTTTACAAATTGTCCTCAAATCTTAGTTTAGTTTTTAAATGCTTAGATTTACTTTACAGTGTCTTTTTTGAGAAAGTCAAACAGTTATTCTAAAATCAACTTGCACAATAACCTAGAAAAAAGGTTGATCAACTCAAATGTTTTTACAGAATAGAAATCCGATGATTTTGAGTCGACGTATTTTTGTCAGTCTTTTAGGTCTAGATTGACTAAAATTAGTGTCTCGCTGGAACAAAATATTATATTATTTCATCAAATTACTACGTACATGCGCTTGTGAATCGCTAGTCGTTTCCTGGAAATTATAATGAATACAACAAAGTTGTTGAATATTTGGGTAGTAGTGGTGGACACAAATGCTTACTTACTACTCACACAACAGCACTACGCGACTTGAACTGATAAACTAATTGCCTATCGTTTATTCCTTAGAGACAGAGCGCTTACAGCCAGCCTAAGACAGTATCATATTATTATTTAAATTTGTGTAATACTCATTATTAAAACTATTTGAGTACTTAATTATTTTTACTTTTTATTAAAATGAATTAGGTTAACTATTTTACTGTAACAACGCGATGATTGTTATAAATCTACTGTACCGGACACCCTTTTTTTTTTTTTCAAAATAAGTGGTTTTTATTCTGAGTGGAATAATCGTTCTCCCCTTTGACCTTTTTTTTTAGCTTTTTAGATTCTGAGTGGAACGATGGATGTATTGATTTTACAATGATGTGTGTTTTTGTTTTTCATTTTTGTGTCTGTGTACACGATAAGTAGTCGAAATAATGCTTCGATTTTCAACTTCAGCATGTTGTTCGATTGGAAAATGAATATCGTTGGTGCATTAGGTGGTCAAAGTAATTTTCAAAAGTAACAAGAAAACAAAAAAAAAAAAAAAAATTAAGAAAAAACATTAATTTTTACGCAAAATCGAATTTGGTTTTTGGTGTAACTTTAAAACAAACGACTGTAGATACATGAAAATTTCACTGTTTGTTTATATTTGCATTTTCTATACACGATAACATTTTCAAAATATTTTGATTTATTTTGAGCTGTTTACGGACAATTTCATATTTCAATTTTTTTTCCATGATTGATATTCGTAGAAATAAAAACTGTATTAAAAAAATGACTGCATCTGTTGGGCCAAAAAGTGTAAAAATTTGATACAAGGCTCCTGATATATTGTTACAATAGTAGTTGAAAAATATTAAAAATACATAGGCACAGTTTTTTTAGAAGCATTTAAAGATCGGATTTTGACAAAATTTATCAATTTTAAAAATGAATAATTATTTTGTAGTTAAAAATGAATACAATGTTCAACTTTTATATCTAAGGATTGAAATTTTATAACAATATTCCATGTAAGTAGTTAATTCTGTTACCAAAAAATCTAAAAAATACATAACCACAGTTAATTTTTAAAGTCATTTTAAGTTCGTATTTGGACGAAATTACATTTTAAAAAATCTAGAATAATTACTTTAGTTATTTTGTTGTGATTCAGTGATTGTATAATATTATTCGTGAGTACTTGAAACTTCTAAAGTATACTATTATATATCTATTTTAGTATCACGGTTTGTTGTTGATGTATAACAAGTTGTAAGTACCTATTATGATATGATTAATTTGGAATTTATTACAGGTACAATTTTTTTTTCAGTATACCTACCATATAGATAAGTAGGTATCTAATATGTCTTATACCTAGACTGACATATCGTCTCCGCTCAGAATCGTTTTTTTATACAATGTATCATTGAATTCAAATTTAATACCATCCATTATACGAGATGGGGGCACATCTTCCAAATTCATTAATTCATTTCAGTGGAATTAACCTCAAAATTTTTTTTTATCAGGATGTATACGAACAATTGATACTATCAATTCTATCAATCCTATCACATTTTATTCGAAAAAAAAACCGGGAAAAAAAGACCTGAAATAAAATCCTCGAAAAATATTATAATTAAATCTATTATCTATTTAGTCATGAACAATGAACTTTAACTAGAATATGTACGTACGTATTAATATAATAAGCCATTGATTTCTATATAGTACCAAATATTTTGTATGCTTACAACTTCCAGTTCCATTCAGGAGATTGAAAAGGCGTTTGTGGAGTAAGTATGTCTAATAATTTCTATACAAATAATTATTAATTACGTTTTTGCATCATAATCATTTCTTTTATTACAATTTATAATTACGATCTTACAGGGCAATTCAGGTGGTCCAATTCATATAAAACACAATCATTACAAGTGAATGGATAAATTTATTTAAAAATAAGAATAACAACATTTAGAGAGACGTTAATCACAAATTAAATTAAGCTGTTAAGACCAGAGCAGCATCAGCTACTCACAATCTAAACTACTGTACAATTTATACTATAGAAATATACATTATTTAAATTTACTGTTCAAATTGTCTACCGCTTATTTTAAAATCACCATCCTTTGGACTGACTACAATATTATTGGAAAATTATAAGTTATAACCAACAACTTTCCAAACTGTGTTTATTTATTTATTAACAAATTGTGTTTAAAATTTCCATGTGTATTTTTATATAGGTATTGTCAAAATGAAATACCTATGTCCTATAATTATTATAACCAACAACTTTCCAAACTGTGTTTATTTATTTATTGACAAATTGTGTTTAGAATTTCCATGTGTATTTTTATATAGGCATTGAGAAAATGAGATACCTATGTCCTATAATTATAAAACCTGATCTTGGAAGGAATTTCTGGATCCTACTATTATTATATGTTCAATAACCATTAAGATTACACTATTATCCCAATTCCCAGTCACCATTGTGTCACCTTATAGTAGTGAGTAACATAATATATTGAATAAAACAAGGTAACATATAATTCTTTAAAGTATCTCCACTGCTCAATACGACAACACGTACCAGTGTTTATCTAAAAGATTGTTTAATTATAATAAAAACTATGGAGAATTGCAATGAAGATGTGTTAAATGACCATACTTATGCAGATATTGGTCAAATTGCAGTAGACAGACACATAGTTGATCACAATTATTATATAGCAAGTAAAAATAATTAAATTTTCATTTCTAAATACTAAAGGCTGGGCATTAACAAGTTAAAATTAAGTCGAACGTTAAGTTAATTAACTCATTATTGTTTTTTTCAAATTAACTTTAACCTAATAAATAACTTTTTTTAAGATTAACGTGTTAACATCAAGTTAATTTTATTCAAAAGTATCTAAATTAAGTTAATTTCCATCTAAAAAATAATGCAAACTTTTGATTGAGGTTTTTAGTATATACATATAATATCAGTAACAGACAGTAAATGAGTTTTAGATTAAAATCCAAATTGCACTTTTTTTATTAAAATAAATAGTTAGGGTACTACTTAAATTAAATTTTTTTAGTTGAAGATAATAGTTCAGATTCAGAGTTGGATGAAGGTAATTTACAAATATAATTTAACTTGCTACAATATACTTTAAATAAATATAATATAATTTAGTAATTGAAGAACATGATGAAAATGATGAAAATGATGAAAATGAAGAACCTATAGATAATTATGAAGCTGGTAATTTATATTTATATTTTATGAAAATAATTGTTATAATTATTAATATTTATTTAGTCATTGATATTTAATTTTAATTAATTTTTTTCATTTTAGAAAACTTACAACACAATCGCACTTACACAATCATACCAGGAGTA